TACATATCTTAGTATCCTCGTAAAGTCAATCAGATGCTGTTGCCATGCTTCATTGACAATAAGCCTGATCTGGTGCTTTCATGCCTTAGCAAATCTTGTGGTCATTGGGTAGTTTGCTCAAGGTCTGCTGTGAATGCTGTCTGTGTAAAATGGGAGCGGCGCACAACGGAAACACATACGCAGCCAGACATCTGTTAACATCTCACCATAGACATATTATCCATGAATGTATCCAATTTATTTTTTGAACCCAGTTATTTTTTGACAGTTTCCCCTGCAAACAAGTTCCACAGGTTTTATTGTGTGTTGTGTGAAGTGCTTCCATATGTTAGTTGAAAACCTGCTGCCTGGCTGATCCTTGATTCATGTGTTATGTGAAAGGGTAAATAACATTTCCTTCTTTACTTTCTCTACATCTATGATGTTGAGACCTCTGTCAGATCCCCTCTGCCCCATAGTCATGTCTTTTCTAAGATGGACATACTCAGTTTCTGAAATCTCTTCTACTCTGCATGTTTTTGTATGCCCATAATCATATCAGTTGCCCTTTCCCTCATCTAATACATCTTTTTAGAGATTAGCCTAGCAGCATTGCATTCCATATTCCTGGTGTGGCTACCCCTTTCCTACTGGTTAGAGCCCTTCAAATCCACGGATGTCCACTTTATATCTGCAGATACCTGCATCCGTGGCTCATTTTTGTGGATACAAATGTGGATGCAGATAGAGATTACCACCTCCCTTAACCAGGGCTCTCGGGTAATGTTCCTGGATCACAGAGCCTAGGTATAGGGAGATCTGGCAGAAGGGCATGGGGTGTGGAGACAAGGAGCTCTGACCCTACGGCTGAGCATTAGCGGGGGTGCCTGGCAATGACAGCCATGGAGCTTGCGATGGCACTGGCAGCTGCAGAGCTCTATCCCTGGCTGTGGAGCTCCGACCCCTGTGGCAGACATGGGCAGGCAGCAGTGGGGGCTAGGCTGGATTCCTTAGCTGGGGGAGCAGAACATCATGGGCCATTTTGGGAGGTACCTCCTCTAGTCCGGCAAGTCCCTTTGTTCAGGACCAATCCGGTCCCGAGGGTGCTGGACGAGGGAGGTCCAACCTGTACACATTTTTTATCCATGCAGGGCCCTGCAAATGGTTTTAACTGCAGCTGCATGTTGAGTGGATGTTGTCAGAGAACTGTCCACAATGACTCCAAAATATTCAGTGATAATAGGCAATTAGACCCAATCTTTTTATCTATGATTGGGATTATATTTAGCAATGTGTGTTACTTTGTCCTTATTGATGTTGAATTTCATTCGCAGTTTTATTGCCCAGTCACTCAGTTATGCCATATACCCTTGTAACTCCTTTTGAATTAACTATCATGAGTAATTTAGTTTCTCTTCAAACTTTGCCACCTCACAGGTCATCTCTTCCATGTCATTTATGAATAAGTTGAATGGCACTACTCCCACTACAGAGCCAGGGGGACTTCTTACCTATTTACATCTTCACTGTGAGAACCGACAGCGCTTCCTATTTTACTCCTAGTTGGTGATTCCTAAGAAGATTTTCCCTCTGGTCCCAAGAGTGCTGACTTTGCTTAACAGCTTTTGAGGACAGACCCCTCGTTGAAGACTTTGTCCAAGTATACTTGATCCAGTGGATCATCCTTGTTCACATGGGTGTTTGACCCTTTGAAAGAGTTATAATAGATTAATGAGGCATGATTATTCTAGAGAAAATCAGTGTTGGTGCATTGTTACTCCGGAGAGAATTCTATATAAAATTAAAAATACTTTGCACAGTATTGACATTTTTTGCAGAAATTCTGGGTGTTTTGTCAGATTAATATTGTATAATTATGCCTTTTTGATTTATTTTGATAATCTATTTCAAAATATCTGTTAGCAAGTATGTTTACAGACAAAAAAAAATCCTCCAGGAATAGAATGAGTGATAGCCCAGTTCCTGTTTTTCTGTCCCATGACCTACGGAGCCTAGCTGTGGGGTGCCACCACTTCCTCTTCCCCATCCCCATCCAGACACCTACACCCATTCTCTGTGGAGCCTGGCTGTGAGGTGCCGCCCCCTGCCCAGACCCCTATACCTCCAGAGCTCAGGGACAGAGGTAAAAATAGCCTGATGCTAAGATCTGGGCTTGTATAGAGTTTCCTGTATGCTGCTTCCTTCCTGTCAGGCATGCTGGTGGTTGGAGCAGTCTATGCCTGCGGTGGGCCCTGTAGGATTGAAACAACTCCCTGCCTGCATGAGATGGGGAGCTACTCTAGCCCTTACTGGTAAGACTCACCCGTTAACTAGTTAACCATTCACATTTCTACTTACTAGTCAGGGTGAATGCACAGCAAAGAGAAGACTGCCAAATTTAGTGGTCAGAGGAGATTACATTCAAGGGATGACAGATGACCCTGATTAGGCTGAAAAGATCTTTTTTGCTTACTTTACAATAAGAGTAAAGTCACATCTACACTAAGCCAGAAATTTGACTTAAGATATGCAAGTCTAGCTATTAATTGCATAGCTAGAATCTGCATACCTTAAACTGAACTTCTCTGGTGACCCCACTGTGGCAAGTCACTGGGAGAAACTCTCCCATTGACTTCCTGTACTCCTTGGGACTCTGAGGAGTACTGGGGTTAGCGTGGATGTAGCCTGGGAAAGAATTTTGTGAAATTTATGGATGAGTAAGGCTTGCTGATCTGATCAGAGTAGATGTAAGTTCGTCCTCTATCCCAGATTATAATTCTGTGGAACCACAAGGCTCCTCCTCTTGAGGGTCAACAGGCGATGGACAACACCACCACCTCAGCTCACGGAATGAAATAGAAAACAGCTTTATTGCTAATGGAATAATGATTATGATCACTACAGCAAACACTACAGTAAGAACACAAATCACTTGAATTCCTTCCCAAGATGTTATTAACACAATTAATTCCAAACTTCTCTAAGTATACAAAAATTAATGATGATAATAGTAATAATAATAATTTCCTACACACTCAAGGATCCCAAGGTTGGATAGAGAAGGGTGACTTCCCTTCCCCTGGTGACCTGAGAGCAAGTGTTAGTAGGATTCCTAAAAGCAGACTTAAACAAGAAAAAGGAAAGAAGCCGTTAGAAAAGAGAGGAATAGAAATAAGTCCTAAATTTCTCTAACCTTGTACTCATGCGACTCGGGACAGACTGCTCTCTTTCCGCGAGGTATCAGATTGCAGCCTCAATCTCTCATCCCTAGGCCTAAATACCCCTTTTGGATGCCAAAGCATACCGGATATACCACCCCTTTTCCATAACTGGGCTTAGCACCCCAAGATTTCTGAGGGTGCCACCTTTAATTGGAAAAAATCTCTGGGTATCTAATGAATATTCATTATGGGTGCCAGATGGCTTTCTTGGATGCTGTCCCTATACCACACACAAAAGGCGGGAAGCTATATGGAATCTGCGGTTAACAAGGTTCCATCTGTTTGGATTGCGCCAAGAGATGAAACACTCATAACTGCAATGTTAGCAGATTTATACCATAAATTCCGGGTAAGGCTCAAAAAATAAAACTTGTCCTGACTGCAGACTCTTGCTTCACTCCTTTATGGAAAATTACAAGCACAAAGCATATTGTTCCCCACTTATATCTTATTGCCATCAGCCTTCTCACAGAATCTGGATTCTGTAGGCCCCTTGCATTACTAGCATATTTCAAGTCTATACTAAATGATATAAGAATAACATAAACCTATTACTTAACTAAAACGAATATCATATTCATAGGCCAGTATAAGACAAATAATGATTAATAGGCTACAGGGGGTACTATCAACATTCCATTTAGCCGGTCCTTACTTGACCCCCTAAATCAAACTGCAGAATATTGACCTCCAAAGCATCCATCTTCCCAGAAGCATAGAGAGAGCCTCATTTTAAAGGAGTTGAGTAAACAGTTGATGTCGTTTTAATTCAATTTGCTCTGTTTGTAGTCTGTCAAAACTATTGCTGTATAGTATAGGTAATGTCAAGGAGAGCTAAGACCACAAAACCCAGTAACCTGTTAAAGGCAAAGTGAAATGGTAAGTTGTGTCTAGACCGAATATCGTTTACCCACTTGTATCTCAGTCAATGGGCATGGACAAGAAGTCCTTTCCCAAATAGTTAAATTGCTTATCAGATTCTAGTGAAAGAAAAATTGCGCTCTGTTGGATTTAAGAGCGAACCCTCCTGGGGTTTATGAAACAAGCAGAAATACATGATTTTCCTGTGGATGGAGTATTATGTGCTAATCCAACTATTTATTAATCTATGTGCTTGCTTATTGTTAAATGCATTGGTGGCACAATGAAAATGGATGGCGTCTAAAAACACAAATTCTGGATAACATGGTTTTATCAATGTTGAAAAACATCCATACTGAATATTTGAACAAAAATGTGACGTGAGGACTATATGAAAATACTAAAATGCTACTTTCAGCTAGAAGTCACAGTAGTGAGCTTATGAAAATTGAATTAAAAAACTGAAATGTTCCTTCTTAAATATAGTAAATGCCCTTTTGAACTATCTATGTAATAGAGGTAAAATGTAAATTAATATGCTCTTGCAGGAGTATTCAGTTGATAATTCAGTTCTTCTCTACATCTGCTAAAATGTCTAGTGCCTGATACCTTAACATTTTTTCAGTCTTTTAATACTTGATGTGAAAATATCAAACTAGACTGCTCTTGATCTGGTAATTAAATATATATGAAAGGCAGGTAGTTGAACATGAGTAACAGTCTCAATTATTTTTCTACCTCAGAATCAGAACATGCTAGTTGCGGTGCATTAATTCTTAGACTTTTTGATAAATGAAGTGTTAAAATAATTTAAATATTTACTAATAGCTGAACATTTGACCACTTGCATGGAATGTTACAGAATACTAATAACTTTGCTGTGTTTTGTTTTTTGTTTTTTTTACACTATAACTATTCTTCGCTGACCACTGCATGCAGATAATTGGAAGCAAAGTTGCGGTAAGTATAAATGCGGTGGTGTTTTTTTTACAAAGTACAAGTTTATATTGCAGAATTGAGACTCACAATTGAGTTTTGTTTTAGGCACCTTTAACACATGTTAGAAAGGGCTTGTTTTATCATGTTATCTTTATGGTTTAGGGGAAAAGGTTGAAAGAAATTATTCATTTAATGTAAACTCTCAAGAATCTGATTTAAAAACCTGTTGAAATTATTTGGAGCCTTACAGTTGACAGTAGACTTTGGATCACACCTTCTGTGTGCAGTTGAGGCAGGTTTCGCGTTTTACTTCAATAGTAATACTTGGTGCATAGTTATGAAATTCAGTTGGTGTTGAAAGAGAGTGTGTCTCATGTAGACCTTGTTATTTTGCAGTGGCTTATGGCCCAATGCAAGAAATCTGCTTCAGGATGTCACTTGGAGCTATGAGAAACTTAGAATTTAGGGTCTACAACTCAACCTGACATGAGGTCTTCCAGGAACTATGGTTTCAGTGTTTCACTGGGAATGTCTTCTGGTTTGACTCTTCTCAAAATAATATGTTCACACTTTTTTGGTGTTTGTAATAGTCATTTTATAGTATTGTAGCTGTTATAGAATCCAGAGCAAAATTGCCATTAGTTAAATGGGAAAAGGCTTGAGCTGTTAAACAAATGTCATGTACTGAGGGTAACGGTATTTTTTCAAGCATTAGTGAGGCCAAAAATACAGTGGAATAGAAGAAAGCAAATCTAATGTTGATCTCAAATTCATGTGTAAAGTTTAGAAACAGTGGTGACACATGCATAATCATGAACATTTTAGTGGGAAAAAATGTCTGATACACTGTTGCGTCGTTGACCTAACATTGTTAGCATCTCTAAATGTTTTAATAAATAAATATATCCTTTTGTTATGGGAATGGGTTCAGGAAGTGAGGATACTTTTGCAAAACTGTGTTTAATTTTAAGTATGGTAATTAAAAATGTACATTTTAAATGATACCCTGGACTCAGGCTATGTATTGATTTGGCTATGGTATAGTGGTCTTTTCAAGACTACATTAAACCATAGCACTCATTTGAAAAGTTTTTTGTTCAAACCACTTCAATGATCCTTTTTTGCTGTGTAGTCTTTTTGTATTTTGAACTATACATTTTAACTTTTTGTTCATTTTTAAGGTCTAATAATTGGTGGTTCAGCATTTTACACGTTCAAAGCATGCTTGAAATATGCAAGTGTTTAAAAAAGACATCGCTACTGGTTTGGCAACATTCAGAGTAGAATTTAAGACGTCTACTTGCTATGCTCCTTTGCTTGCAATAGTGTTATTTTAGATGCTGTTTTTGGATGTGAGAGCGATGCAAAATCCCGTTTTAATTAGTTAACCAGTTAAATTTTATGCTTAACAAGTAATCCTGTTGGCTACCCTTCTGAGACTTTTTATACATACTTATTAAGTTAATCGATGGCTGGAACCGCCCCGCTGCAACCAGGTTTAGGCTGATCCGGCTGGCTGGAGTGCCCCCTGCCCGTGGCATATCCTGTGGGGCTGCTCCAACCATGACTAGTTAACCATTAGTTAACCCTAGTGTGAGATCAGAATAGTGATATAGCCACTTCTGTATTATAAGGCTCCCATTCTGAGAAAAATTAATTAAATGGCAAGCCGCCTTCACTTTTCTTGTGGTATTTTAGAAACTGGAAAGGAGGACTATGCAGATCAGTTCTTTTTCCGGGTGTGAGTGAATTTGAAAGCAGTCTTGAGAGAAGATGAGAGAAGATAATTTAAGTAAGGGGAAACTTGCAGCAATCCTTATATAATGAGGGTAATCCGAAGGATTCTTCGTGCACATCAGCGCAGCAGGGCTAAACTTCAAATAAGCTATGTGATGTGAGCTATGGGGAATGGGGAGTAACGGTAGTTCGAATTAGGATCTTTAATTCAAACTACCTACTCCGTGCCGCGTGTAACCGCGGGCATGGAGTTTGGACTAAGGGGGATTTAAAAATTGCGGTGCCCGTGAACATGCAAATGAAGCCCGGGATATTTAAATCCCAGGTTTCATTTGCATCTCCGCTTGCCCTAATTTCCCTACCTAGCTCGAACTAACGAGCTAGTGTAGACGTACCCTAAGTTCCAGGAGTCTGAGTAAACAGTCCTCTAGCTCAACATTATTTCAGCGTTGTCGAAATAACTGCTTATGTGTAGATGCAGACTTTGTTATTTTGGAATAACATCAGGTATTCCAAAATAATGCTGCTGTGTACATATAGCCCAAGGCAACTTTGAAGGAGTGTATAATAAACAGTAGCTTGAGCCTTGACTAGAAGTAGAATTACAAATACAATAAAAGAAAAAAAATCCCCTTCCCCCTAATCTTTGAACATTTTTCTTTGATTCTCTTGATTGTTTCTTGAAGGGTTCAACGATGTTTTTTTGGTTTAGAGTAAGATTTGTTAAGTAATTCTCTCCCCAGGTCTCTCTAGAACAAGATGTTACTATGTGGCAAAGTGAGCATCTTTTCACTTCTCAGGATATCTTTTTAGTGACCTCATTAAGTTGAGTGAATTCTTTGATTACACATTTAAGAAGCCAGGCCTGTCTATTTAATATTTTTAATCAAAACAGTTTGGCAGGTGTGCCAAGTCTTTGGTAGGTGAGTGTACTTTCAGTATTAATGAAATATTAATCAGATAGCATAGCATATTTGGGGGGGAAACATATTTCCTGC